TTATATTACCAACAAGTTACCCAGCCCTTTGGTGAGCCACAAAGCACCTCACGTTCGCCTAGTTCCACCCAGTCATCTGGTGGGAGTCCCAACATCAATGGCTAGAAGGGTCATACCAGCCAGTGCTCCGTCCCACACTGTTGCTGCCACTGTTGCCATTTATTGAGACCCTTTTGTCCAGGCACAATGCAAGCCCCTTTATGTGTGTTATCTCAGTGCTTTGAAGTCACTCTTAACACATGTTATTGTAAAGTTGTGGAAACTGGGGTTAAGATAGCTTAAGTAACTTGCCCAAAGCCATAACTAGAAAGTGGTAGAAAGAATTTGAGTCTGAGTAGGTCGTTTTGACTCTATAGCTCGCTTTCTTAGCTACTATGCTTGATACTATAGATTCACGATGTAATTGTCATTCAGCTTACTTATGTATGATGGATCAGCAGTTGAATGGACAATGATAGGTAATGTTCCAGTTGAATAGACAATAATAGGTAATGTTTACTGAACACTAATTACATGCTTTAGATGGATTTTATGTTTACCTTACAGCAACCCAAATAATTATCGCCGTATTAAGATGGAGAATATAAAGCTTTTAATTTCCCTGCATCATTAGTCTGACAGTTTGTTGTTCTGTAACTTGCTTATACCATGAGTCTGGAAGTCATGCCACTGGTATTTCATATGCCAACAGGGTTACCATGGTGGACAGGTTTCAGCAGAGATTCCAGACTAAGACAGACTAGGAAGAAAGACCTGATAACCTGCTTCTGAAAATTTGCCATTGAAGCCCGTGAATCACGGCAGGATGTTATTGGATGTAGTGCTGGCAGATGAGCCCCCAAGGTTGCAAGGCACTTAAAATCCACAGCAGCTAGGACCGTGAACTCGAACATACCAATGATTGTAAAGATGGAGCCAGGACCATGCAGTGTGTCATTCTGTTATACGTGGAATTGTCATGAGTTGCAGCTGACTTGCCAGCAACTAACAATAACAACTGTCTTCCTGGTTGGAAGTCAGCAGTAAAGTATTGGGATACATCTATTTTTGATACAGTATTTTCTATGGCAGAGTTACCTTGGACCTGAACTTTGTAAAATAATGCTGTGTTCGTAAGCAGATGTGCAGCTGCTGTAAGTATGACAGGCAGGGGAAAAAATGCTTTCAGGACACACTGAAGCATGTCCAATGAGAGGGATTAGTGGGAAACCACA